TCTGACTCTAGAGTCGGTAGGTGGTACGTTGAGGTGGCAGGCACCCGAGCTCATGTCGGGTGAGAGTCAGCTTGCTCTGACACCCCAGATGGACGTCTATGCGTATGCCATCCTGTGCGTGGAAATCGTTGCGATGGGCAAGCTTCCGTGGCCATTTGCAGATGACGATACCGTCAGGCATTTTGTGCTTCGTATGTCATCTCTCCGATCCTCACAACATATTCCTAAGGCGTTTGTAGGGGAAAACATCCGTCCTGCCATTCCGCTCTCGCGCTTCAATACCCCCTCGTTCCAGGAGCTCCTTCATGTCTGCTGGGATCATGACCCGATCGTCCGTCCCACGTTTGATGTGATCGTCAAGGATGTCGAAGTTATGCGCCAAGCGTTCCTTAGTGACCTCGGGGAGGAGCATCCGCTGCCGTCGCCGTCTCCAGTCACGTTTGATAAGAGTACACGCCCGCGAGAGTGGGAAAGGGATCATTCGAGATCAAAGCCTTCGCCTGATATGCGACCTGTGTCCTTGCATTTCGGGACTCCTCGTAGGTTTTAGCTTCTTTACTTCTATTTTGTGCTGATAAGCTTTTAGCTGCCGCTAATAGTTCCCTGGTGGGACAGGGCGCTTCACCTGATCCTTTAGAGACCTTTGGCATGACCGAAGAAGGTCTCTCGTCGGCCTCGTCGACAAAGGCGGGATACCACGAGTACCATCGAGAAGATCTGGTGTCATCGGGTCGTTTCCGCATGCCGGAGCCCGTACTGTACACCCCGTCGATTCCTTCAGATTCGTCGTGCTCTCTGGCGTCATCGCTTTTCACAACTACGCTCTCTAATAGTTCGCTTCAGGAACTTGGGCTGACGACACCCGGACGTCCTGTTTTGGAGGTTGAGATGTATGATAGTCCTGCGCCCCAGGACGAGAGGATCAAGTCGATGCGGGATGAGAGGAGGTATCGTTTACTGTTGAATCATCAGTTCCATCCATCTTGTCAGTTATTCATGTCTTTTTGAGTTTCCGATCCTAGGTGCTGAACCGTCCCTGTTTCTTGACAGTGACTCTTCCGCTCTGGGAACCATCATCAGTCAAGCTCGGTGCGGTAGGGTATCTCCTGAAACCAGAGGGCAAGTTCATAACGTTGTTTAACTCTTTCTCGCCGGAGAAGGGTCAGGAGAGCGCAGTGCATGGATTGCCGTCGCTTTATGGCTATGGACGGGTGTTATCGGGGGGCCAGCGCCAGGATAAGAGAAACGCGGCACAGAGAGGGTACGATGCGTTTGTTGGGCTGTTGACTTTTAGGGGGAAAAGTGGTGCAGTGTCTTCGTAAGTGTTGCATCAGCGATACCTTTGGTTCATTACTGATTTCATGCGTGCTCAAGGCAAAGTATCGCCCGCCGATATTCGTTCCCACTTCGAGCTGGACACAAGACGGCGCACATGTTCACAGAATCGACGATGTACCGTTACATGGAACGCTTAGAAGTGCCGAAAAGATGGTTTAAGGCCAATGTCGACGCGATCATGCAGATTTACGGACCTATGCATCATATTCAGAAGGAAGATCTGTTCCTTGGTAATCTATACCCCTGTTTTGTGCTCTCCATGACTGAAAATGGTTTCTCTCCGTAGTTATCGGTACCCTTGAGGCTCAGGAGTATGCGCTCTTCGTGAGCCACAATCATCCCGATGGACAGGTATGGTTGTTCTTTTCTTACCTCGTTTCTGTGTTGATTTCAACGCCTTAGGCACATTTCAACGTGTTTTCGTCACCCAGGAACGGCGCGCCGTGGGGAACGTTCACTACTGACACGGAAGTTCCTTCCCAAATGGGCGGCCCCTCGTACGACGAACCCGTTCCAGGCCACGCTATATCCTCGAGCAAGGTATCCAAAGTAGGACCCAACTGGGAAACTGTCCTTGTTTCTAGGCTCCGTTTCAAGCCAGATGCTTTAGAACCGACATCGTTATAAGATGGACATTCCTTCTCTCTGCAGCGTAACAATCTGCAAAACTTTCTTTGTTCTTTGTCTTGGAATCTATCATTATTGTTCATGTACCCTTAGTTCCTTCTATACATGTATACCCCCAATCGCTTCCTTAAGATATACATGCATGTACCTACACTTTGTCACGGAATGTTCAAAACGGCTACCTCGTCATTGGTCATCCTCCACCTGCAATACAGCGTCAATTCTTGTCAATCATAAGAAACTTTAGTGTCTTGTGATATTGTGCGAGTGTAGGTCAAGGCGGGCGGCTGTGCTACTATCCCAATGAGGTAGAACTTGATGTGAACCACTTACATTTGGGGTATGGCAGGTCTTCGTGATCTTTTGTGGTCGATAGATAGGATGAGGTACTCCTTTATGCTCCGACCTACCATCATAACTACTATTATACTAGATGAAGCTATCTGGTGAAAATTGTAACCCTAAGGTAAGAGGAAACTTGGAACGGTATGGTATGGATACTCGCATAAACGATAAAATGGCTGTACAGGTCATGAGTTCCGGTTATGGTCCGGGGATATCCTGGCGAAGGAAACCCTTGCATGTGAAGGCGTAGAAGTCAGAATGAGGCAACGACAGTGACGGTAACTAGCAGCGCTTCTTCTTCAGTCGGAGACCTCGTTAAAAATCATTAATATATTACGGTGGTCAATTGTCTGGACTCTGCCGGTCATGAGGTTTGCTTAGCGTCAATTTGTCGAGAGAGAGATTCTGCGTCGGTATGTACTTCGACGATTTTGCGAACCTTGAGCTCATTTCCTGTTTCAAGGTCTATTTGGAAGCTAAGATGATCCATAGGAGTCGTGTTCAATGTCTGTGTGAGGTCCCTTTGGTTCCTGGAAAAGCTAGAACGCTTTTGCCTTGAATCCACAAATCGTGTTACAAGGCCCGAAATAACTGCAAGGTTGCAAACCAAAAGGGATACGCATTGCTTGGACAGGCTCTTCTAAGTAGCTGGGGTAGACACTGATATGTCAAATTACTAACCTCAATCACCGCTGCAAATACCACGACCAGACCACCGACGCGGAGAATGTAATAGGCGTGCACTAAGCTTGCGATGGTGGTGCCAATACTCGACGTGAAGATAACGATGAGCCGATTACGCCGTGAGCGTGGAATGTCCAAATTCCACAAAAGCCGGAGAGGTGCTGCAATCAGGATAGAATCTGCGTAAATGTCACCTTGCGACGGGTTAGCTTCATGTAGCACAATGGCTGGAAATTGGGGAAACTCACTGATGAGCTGAGCAATGGCGACATCAAGGCCTAGTGGACATTGTGGGGCAAGGCTTTCCTGTTTCAGGAGAATGTTGAATATGAAGCATGGTCTATATAAATCGACAAAATACCTTCCATAGAGATTGACGCTCACAGACCCAGAAAATCTGAGCGAAGAGAATACACCAAAGAATCAGAAAAGAGACAGCAGAGTAATGAAGCATCGTCTTCAGCTTTGAGCCTTGAGGGGTAAAACGAACAACAGAAAATAGAATTGACATTCTGGCTGGCCTGTAGCAGACATACGTCAGGGAAAATATCTTAAGAATTGAGAAGAATAATCAACCAGATGATGGCGTAGAATCGCTGAGCCATGACGTAGTACATCGCAACTCGGGTCAAATGGGACAAGTGTGCTGGAATTCACAGATTGGCAATCAATCACTCTTAAAATGGTTACGACATACCGGGGTCACCCAGGTGGAGAAAGAGAGAGACTTCGAAGACGATGAGGATGACCAAGGCAAACGCTGCCCAGGCATCATCGACGCCCAACCTCTTTCGACGAAATCGCTCAAAAAGTCGGATGATTGTGACAACGCCGGCCATGATGGGTCCAACCAGACCGAGTACTATGAGATAAGTTCAGGTAAGAAGCCGAAAGTTTAATGCGAAGATCGACCCTAGAGACTATACTTACCTTTCATATCATACACTGTTATCGTCATCGTGATAGGCGAAGGCTCGAGAGAAAATGGCAGCAAGCCAAGGTCTAATAAAATAGAACTCTTGGTCTCTAAATAGTCTTTTTCGGGGTGAGATCGACAGGTATCCATCAAGGAGAGGATGTAACTGATGATGGGTCTTCGCTCCGATATAACCTTGCCAGAGGGTTTTCTCTTATACACTGTGGTTGCCTTTAGTATGTGTCTTCAATACAGACTGAAACAAGGGGAACTGTGCAATTCTATCTGTTCGAGAGTCCCGCATCCTCAAGAGTCGCCCTTACTACGCTTGAATCCATCTGCATTTCTTTGTTGCGTGAGAAAAAAGTTTCGCGTGGAAACAGACCCTACAAAAGCAGATAAAAATATCAACAGCAATTCAACAGCAATGGCGGTGTGTTTCAAGGAAAGCCAAGCCGCTTGGAGCAGGAACCCACGTGAGAGAACATTCTAGTGGTGATGCTAGATGGCGTGAACTCTTCACCTCAAACCAGGTCACTTCTTGCTTCTTGCCAACTTTTGCGAGTAGATAGCGAGAAGCGAGTCATGCATGTGTCATTTTTGTGGCAATTCTCTATGCACCGATGACCAGGAAACCGAGTCCTTTCGCGACCGACGATTGGTTGGTGGCTCGTGAACATTTTTTGACATGCTCTGTATCACTGGTTCGGATCAGAGATATTTATATGCACGTGGAAATTCTTTCGAGAAATGATCACTGACATCGTCTATCCATCATTTTTATACATAGTTGGACAGAGGTCAATCGCGGGATTTCCCATGGATTGATTGACGACGAACGAAGCTGGGGGCCAAGGCCAAGGAGCAAGGATAAAGCGTGCGTACAAGCGTCGAATTTAATTAGATTTGTGGTGGAATGTAGGGTGGGGAATCTTCGGTGCTCGACTTGTGAGCATTTGACTCTTTGATACTCTTCGGATTCTCCATAGAGGGAAGCCACCAAGACATTTGAGATCTGTCTGGTGGTTCACAGAACTACAAGTAGAAAGATATTTGAGATCTGGCCTGCTGAGCAAGTATCGCAAAAAGCTGATGAGAGCGAGATTCGAACTCGCGCCCCCGAAGAGACCAGATGACTTGGACACCTCGTGGCCTGGTTTCTCCTTAGTCTGGCGCCTTGGACCGCTCGGCCATCTCACCGTGTTCTTCAGTGTTCAAGCACTTCCCTCAGCGGGTCGAGGGAAGACAGCTTCGTACTGGACGCCCCTCGAGGGGGAAAAAGGCGAGTTGGTTCTATCGAATTCTCTTCGAATCTAAATTCGGCAATAAACATATAACAGCCGGCTACAACTGCCCTAGCAGACCTCTGTATTTCAGCCAAGAGAATTCAGCATCCATGGTGACGCACCTATCCTTCCTTTGGCGCAGGGAGCAGGGCTTCAAGATTCTTTTCACACCCTGCCCACTCTCTCCTGGCCACCTCTGCTTTCTGCAAGGAACGAGGCTCGAAGACGGCCGGGAAAGGTAGGAGCGCATTCGTGAGCTAAAAACATAGTCATATGTCGTCAGCAGAAAGCCCATGCAATCAAAGTAGTGTCGACGAACGTCTCCGTTGAACGCTGCATCGCTGTCGTCATATTGGAATGGCTGGCCTGTCTTGGGATCAAGTGCTTCAGACCCACGGATGTTGAAGGTCCAGAGTAAAGTGGCGACGCTGATCCAGAGCGACCGCTCCGCGAATGGGATGCCCGGGCATACTTAACGGCTCATAGATCAGTAATGACGTGGTATTGATGGCGGCAAAGAGAAGCTGACCACGCCGACCAAAGCCAAAGGCACTGGTCTCGTAATTTGGCTTTAGGTTGCCCTCGGCGTCAAGGAAGCGCTCTGGCATGAAGCGGTCGTGATCTTCAAACCTTGAATGATCGTGTTCAATTGCCCTGGTGTTGAATCTGTTTAAGAGCTGGACACTATGACGCAATGACTGACCATGTCACAGCAAAAATGATCGACCCCTTTGGAAGAAAGTATGTTTGTCCCCGATATTCGATTGTATCGTCTGCAACCGACTGGTGGGGCATACCAGACCGAGCTAGAGATTGTGCAACAAGCCGTTGAATGAAAGCAGAAATAGGACGTACCTGCGGGGCGCCATCTTAGCGTCTCTGAGATAAATCGTGAGTCATAATTCAAGCGGGAACCTCATCACCAAAAAGGGACTTACCGCGAACAATTGCCTCTACATAGGGAAGGAGAGGTCGGTCCTTGAAGGATGGTAACCGGTCAGGTCCAACGACAGCGTCGATCTGCTCTTGTGCCGTAGTTACCCACTCAGGATGACGGATGCAGGCAAGGACGAAGGTTTGCACAGAGACAGCGATCTATACAGAGATAAACTAGAAAGAACATCGTGTTATTTCTTTATTGAAACGTACAGTTTCGATAGCTGCCTATGCATCACAATCTCAATTGCACACGTTTTGCAAAGTAATTTTCGAAAACTCACACCCGAGAAGGTTTTCAACAGACGACCTTGGTCACCTCCAGGTTTATCCTCGCGGGCGAAAGCAGCAGCCCACCTGAAAAGGATGGCGTTTGATCAATCATCTTACTGACCTGACCAGACGCACGTATTCATCCCAGACCCTCTGCCCGTAAGAGCATGGTCTAGCAGCTCCTTGTAAATGGCTGTCTCTTGTTCATGGAATTCACGTGCTCGGGCGCGCCACGGCATAGGACCAGGGATGAGGTCAAGTAAAGGAAAGGCATTTACAATACTCGCAGTGGGATTGAATAACACCACCAGCTCATCGATTGCCTTGAAGCAAAGATCAGAAAAGACTGCAGATTTTTGAAGGAAGAGAAGGGGGCTGGGTACGCACGCACCTTACGGACTTTCTGGAGAGCTGGTTCGTGGCCCGTTGGACAGTGCAGGCCATACGCAGCCGCGAGTGCGGTGCTCGCAGAGAATCTGAATGAGAAAGCATCAAGTATGCTTCGGATAATTACGCATAAACGGACAACCGTACCGCTTGGCATAATGGAACCAATCCTTGCCTCCGTCATCGAGTAGTTTCTGCACATTAAGCAAGGCCTCGAACTCCTGGAGCGGCTCGGTCTTCCCTGCGCGCACGCTCGACATGATGCCCGTGCTCAGTCTTCGGCCGAGGCTGACCGTCGGGCCTTCCGCGGAGTGTGACCAGTTCGACTCTGTCGGGTCGAGATGATAGCGCTGGAGGCTACATCAAATGGTGAGCGTTGATTGAGTGTCCTCGCTTACGATGTAATATATGATGGGACGCGAAGAATGTTTCGCGGCATGCTTCTCGAGAAGTTCTTTAGCCACCTTGATGTCACCGATAAGAACAAGGCGCTGTCGTGGTCGATGCGGAGTTTGAGCGATGAACTGAGTGAGGTGCAGAGTACTCACGAAACCTGCAAGGTTCAACGACACGAGACCTCCGTATTCTTCGAGCAAATGCCGGAAATATGTTGAGAGGTGCTGTGGTAGCAAATCAGGAGGGTATTACAAGAAGAATAGTGGAGGACTCACCTTTCGTGGTACTTGCAGCAAGTTTCCCAGGAGCGGTATCCCAGGCGGACTAGGAGGTAGCTTAAGATGGTTGGAGTGGCGGAGACGAACCTTCCTAAGTGCGACGAGAAGAATAATTGCGATGGAAATTATCTGGGGTACACCTAGCATCATGGTTATACTCTGAGTCCAAGTGCGATGGGAGTCCTCGCGAGTGATTTACATCCGACTGAGAACCTGCTATTTAAAAGGAAAATTCCATATCAATCAAAGGATGCCCGCAAAGATGGCTATACTCATAAAATGATGGAACTGAAATTCAACATGTGGAGAGTATACCGCGGAGATGCCACATTCCCGAGAGCTGATAACGCGGCTGTAACTACTTTGCTACGACTTCTGAACAAGCCAATTAAGGATCGAACAGGTGAAACATTCTGCAAGCAAGGGAATCAACGGTGATGCACCGCCAGCAAATATGCTTGTGACTTTCTCGAGGGCATCATCGGAGAGCACAAGACGAAGATATTCTGAACCATCATGTTAACGGATAAGATTAGATCGAGAGAATTGGGAAAGGGCCCAGTTGATCAATGACTATAAATTAGTGACCGTGGGAACGCAACGTGTCCCCATCAATAGTTTTCGACAACTGCTTTGTTCGAGTTGAACTACCAGAATGCGCTGGTCAGCGCTGACCCCTTTTCTAGTATTTGTGGCTCAGAGTGCCTGTGGAGAGCCTGCAAGTGGCGGGCTTTATCCTCCAGGCCTTGCTCCCCTGATAAATCGTGCCAACGCTCTTCTGTCACTGGGTCAATTCAATGAAGCAGCCCGAATATACTCTGAGGCGATCGAGCAGTCTCCTGCAGACTATCTGCTATACTACAAGCGTGCTACCGCGTACTTTTCTCTGTCGCGACACCCCGCTGCACTCGACGACTTTGACAAAGTCCTGTCTTTGACGTCAGGGACGTTTGACAATGCAAATCTCATGAAAGCGCGGATACACACGCGAGAAGGCCACTTTGACCTCGCCAAAGAGTCACTGGCACAGTACGTCAAGGCGAAGGGGGCGAGTGACGAAACGACAGAGCTCGAAGAGAGTATGAACATGGGAATAGCAATGGAGACGAAGATGGAGCGAGAACGCGAGACACAGCTGTGGAACGCGTGTGTAGAAAGTGCCAGCGCAGCATTGCGCAGTGCAAGCCACTCCATCGACATTCGGTCTGTCCGCGCGGAATGTGCGCTCGCCGCCGGCGACGTTGACAGCGCAGTTGGCGATCTCACGTGCGTGATCTGCTTCTCTTGTGTCCAAATTTAACATCTGCGCCACCAGTCGTCTCTCCCACCTCCTCCCGCCCTCGACGACACTCCTCACGACCATCTTCCGCCTTTCTTATTTCCTACTATCACCATCTCCCGCCCCGCTCAACACCCTCAAGCAGTGTCTACACTACGACCCCGATTCAAAACCCTGTCTTGTCCTCCACCGTCTCCTCAAATCCTTCGACCGCAACTTCGCTGAGCTTGAAGAGCTCCAAACCAAAGAAGACCACCGCGGCATCATCGCCCTCCTTGCCGGCCCCGCAAAGGGGAAGAAAGGCGACTTCCTCAACAAGTTCGACGAGGCTCTCAAGGAACACACGGACCGCGCACAGATTCTTCCGCCTCAACTCGCCGCGCGGCAGCATACGCCCGAGATCCCACTTCCCAACGCGTTCAAGGCGTCATTGCGCCGCCAGGAGCTCGTCCGAGCTTTGTGCAAGGCGTACACGCAGGTCGGTACCAGGAAGGAGATGGTCGGGAAATGGTGTGAAGAGCTTTTGGGGATGCATGGGTGCGAGGAGGATGTAGATGGGTTAGTTGGCAGGGGTGAGGTGCTCTTGGGTAAACAGGAGTGGGAGGAGGCGGTTCAGGTGCTCTCGAAGGCATTCGAGAAGAGCGGACAGAGTAATCGCGATGTATATCGTGTTTTCGTGTTCGCATGCGCTTGGAAGTTGATCACTCGCGTTTTTAGATCCACTCGCGGCTTCAGCGCGCGCAGAAGCTGCTCAAGCAGAGCAAACAGAAGGATTATTACAAGGTCCTCGGTGTCTCGCGAGATGCGGATGACAGGACTATCAAGAAAGCTTTGTGTGTTTGACCAAATCTCCAGTTTCTGACCACGCTGATCATCTTCGTATAGCCGAATGGCAGCCAAGAAGGCTCACCCAGACAAGGGTGGTTCCGAAGATAAAATGGCCGCCGTCAACGAGGCGTACGAAGTCCTTATCAACCCCGGTAAGCTCGACCCCCTCTTCGCCCTTTCTCTCCGTCACAAACAACCGCTAACATCTGCCTTCCTTCACAGAGCTTCGCGCGCGCTTCGACAACGGTGAAGACCCGAACGACCCGATGGCGCAACAGGGCGGGCACGCGTACCCCTTCTCGGCGGGCGGGCATCCCTTCGCACAGTTCTTCCAGCAGGGCGGGTTCCCTGGCGCTGGCAGCCACGGCGGGCCGTTCCAGTTTCATTTCCAGCATGGAGGACGGTGAGTGCTTTGTGGAAACTGGACATTGGGAAGTGTATGAGTATTTGCGAGCGAAGCGTAGAGGTGATCGTTGGTATAAATATAATCGGACTGGCGCTTCTGCACTTGATCACAGAGTGATGTGAGAACCATGT